CCGATATCCGATCCAGTAATTTAGGTCAGTATCGGACCGATACCGATACGTAATATCGGATCGGTCCATCTCTACTCCAAACATGTAGAGTTTTTACCAAAAAATTCTATTTTGGTTTCATCTGACCATGTGACATTTTCCCCATCCTCTTCTCGATCATCCAAATGCTCTACAGCAAACTTCAGACAGGCCTGGACATGTACTGGCTTAAGCTGGGGGACACAACTGGCACTGCAGGATTTGAGTCCCTGGCAGCGTAGCGTGTTATTGATAGAAGCTTTTGTTACTTTGGCCTCAGCTCTCAGCGTGTCATTCACAAAATTCCCCCGTGTGGTTCTGAGATTTTTGCTCACTGTTCTTGTGATTATTTTGACCCCATGGGGTGAGATCTTGTGTGAAGGAAATAATGGAAATAATTTGTTTGCTATAATAACATGTTACCATATGTTGCAAGTGCACTCCAGGCCAGCTAGCTGTTAACCAGACTGTTGACAGCTAGCCAAGTGACCTTTTCAGTTTCAGCTGACTGCAGATTTCCCCAACTTTATAAACAGATCATGAAACTGATGCCATTGTTAGTCAGTGGTGCCAGTTTCAGTCATTATGCAAATGTACTGTTTTTACGGTTAGGAAAATCTGCAGACAGCTGAGACTGAAGAGGTCAAGTGGATGAGTGATGAAACATTTCTCTCATGGCTACATCCAGATGAACAGAAATAACTTTTTGGGATTTTGTTACCTGGATGATCGAGCATGCATCAAGACATCTGACTTGTATAGTTAAGTTATAATTCTTTTCATAGCTATCGTATCTTCATCTCCTGAAATACAAAAACTTAATCAAAATTGAGTTTTGAAAATGTAAAATAGATGGATAAAACTTTACAGAATGTTTGAGCCCTCAGACAGACTGCAAATCAACTTGTGTCAATAATTCCCACAAAGACGACGGTTTACTGTGTTAACATCCCATCTGAGTGGGGTTTGAAAGTTTTTGTCCTTCTGTGGGAGATGTGACCAAAG